AAGGTGGTAAACTCCAGACTAGGTTTGGGTGAAGAATAACTGTCCGTGGATGTAAAGACACTCGTGCACCTCAATCAAAGCTACCCTAGACTTTCTGTACAGCAAGATACAATATGGTAGTTCCTTTGCATAACTAACTGGTGCATAAGATACTGCTCCATAGCCTACCTCTGAGGCATCGTTACACAAATGCAATTCCACCCTTGCGTTAGGCTCGTCGAATTTATTTTTGATCACTCAAGGTACTATAACATGACCTATCTGACGCATTAATTTCACTCAATCTAGCCAGGAGGATATGTAAGGCTCATTGATAGGCTGATCGCAGCCTATTTGGGATTTACATAATTTTTGCAGAAGTTTGACCGTGAGACAGACTGGAGAGATTAGGCCCAAAGGATCAAACAAAGAAGAAACCACAGATAGAATACCTCTCCTTGTCAACAGCTTTTCCGGTGCGTCAAAGTAAAACTTGAAAACATCTCTTTCACAATCCCATTCTAGAGTTCGATGAATGGCATCACAACAACAACATTTCTATCAAAGACGCTTCCTTGCGTACATCAGGCAAAATGGTTCTTACCTCTTCTGAGTTAGTAATCCATTTCTTTAATTTAAAACCTCCTCTACACAATAATTCACTTATTTGCTTAACGAACTTCTTTACTCACAATTGATTGATCACTGGGTGGTGATCAATCTCATGCGTGTCAGGTCCTTAGTGCTGATCGAACTTCTTTACTTCATCACAAGTGGAAAAGAATATCAAGCAATCATGAACATAGAAGTTGTTCTTAACCGCCTCTACAACATAGCTATCATAGCCATCAGAGAATATTTGGACTGTCTTGTTCAAGACAAATTTCGCACAAAACCGCGACGAGATTGCACCAAATGAAGGAGTGGTCATTTGAAACTCGGATGGTTCCTTCGACATGTCTGCATCCTGCCACCATAGAAATCTTGAAGCTCCTCGAACTGATTCAGGGACCTTCACTTGCATGAACATTTCCTCAACATCTGGACAGATGGCAACCGTCTCCTTGCGAAAACTCAATATTATACAAACTAGTTCAGCAGTTGTGTCAGATACTTGATAAATCATATCATTCAGGGAAACCCCAGTAAATTTACCGGCACAATCCAGCACAACTATCAGTTTTTCTGGGTTTTTTTAATTTAACACTGCTTGATGAGGTAGATATCAACGAGGGCGATAATCTGATCTTAACTGTATTTCAGGGACCTTCTCTGCATGGCCCTTAGTAAAATTACTTTCAATACTTTTTGTATATCTGGCGTGTAGGCGGCCACCCTTCAACAACTTACGCTTCAAGCCCTGTAATCTGCTGACCGCTACTTCATAGTTACCTGTCTTTATATTCGGATTCGTTTTCAATGATATTGGAACTACAAAGTGACCACTGTCGAAAAACGCAACCCTTTCCACAATCTCTATGGCCTCTTGGTCTTCTCTCGATAGTGACTTATCGCTTGAATAGACATCGACGAACTCCACATCACATAGCTTACGTAATTGGTCCTCTAATGTTTGCACCTTGCTGTTATGATTAACAACTCTTTTTCTAAACTTAAGACATGATGCCGGTCCAAAGACCGTCCTTCCGAGCAATGTTTTTTTTACAGCGTACGAGTGTTTCCTCCCACCCAATCGTTGGTCGAGCACCCAATGTGCTTCCGGAACATCGCAACCGATCGGCAATAGCACATACTTAGGATCCAGACTATTGAATGGCACGTCACTTAAATGCGGCCACCTCTACAAACTGCTTATTGCCGACTCCGCCAGCTTATGCCCTGTTATACGCGACACAACTAGAGCTGCTTCAATCGTAACGTGTTCGGACTGATCTAACGAATATACTTCTAAAGAAGACTTCGTGACCCTTGCTGTTCTCTTGCCACCTACTGTTCGATTCATCGCTGCCGCCTTGTCCTCCGTCAGCCCGAGCCTCATGAAACAGTCCGACCTTATCAATGTCGTATCAGAACCATTATCCAAAAGGGCATAACCCACGATTTCAGCATTTCTCGATCGCAAACGTACCGAAATCATTCCCAAACACACATGATCGTTCACTGACTTAGTAAGTCCACAATAGTTTCTCGCAGCAGGTTTATCTTCTGATGTGCTGTCTGTCGAATCGTTATGCAACAATTTGTGATGTTTCTTCGTGCATTAGTCAACAGTGCAATGCTTCATCACTCTACATTCATAGGCCTTATGTCCTTGTTTAAGACACAGTAAGCCGATACCTTTAATCTTCCCGTGTGACCACCGACCTTCCGTTGTGAGCGCTAAAAACTGTGGACATTTATAAACTGAATGGTCCTTCGAACACATAGTACACTTAAATCTGACGGTCGAAGCATTCCTCAGCCTCGCTAGCGAGTGGCAACTCGTCTTCATGATAAATCCCCTTTCTGGACGATCAGCCAACCGTCCAAACCTACTAGCAGCCACTCTCGCTCGAGATAATAAAAAATTTTGTGAGCTCAGCAAATGTCGGTTCTCTATCATCTTCCGTCAACCTGTCTACCAGCTCAGCCCATTGCATTTGCATGGGTTGAGGCAGAAGCCTCACTAATCTCTCTAACGTGACCAAGGAATCTAAATCTGCAGTATAATTCTTCTGCTCCAAAACCATAGCGCAATTCTCCATACTTATAGCTAAGTTTCTCGCGCTATTACGTGGGCCTGACCAAACAACCATTTCAGAATCTCTCTTTCGGTTTTCAATCAAAATAGCTTAATTCAACCCTCGGTAACTCTAGTTCAACTATAAGAACTTTAGGTAATATGCTCGGCCCTGATTCCTCAAGTCTTTACCCTCTATCTAACCTAAGATTCTTTACTTTATCTACCATTAATTCACTACTAAAGTCACTATCATGATAATCATCCCTAACTGAGCCTAAACTATGAGGCATAAAGACATCAGAAAGAACTTGCTTCGTACAAAGGGATTCGTCGTATAACTTGTTTTGATCAGCACCGACCAGCTCGGGAAATGACTTTTTTGGACGACTGTTTGGAATCTCAAGAGTAGCGACCAAATTTCTAGAAACGAAAGCCAAGCACCTTCAACCAACCGGTATTTGTTTAGAAATGTAAAATCCAAACCTATGAGATTCAAACTAGGTTTGCGTGAGGAATAACTGTCCGTGGATGTAAAGACACTCGTGCACCTCAATCAAAGTCAGAACAAGGTCAAATCACGCAACACAATCAAGGAGGGAACAATCAATCAACAAGGCTGCCAGCAAGATAAAATATCAATTGAAACAACATTGATACAGTTCAAGAAGAAACATGGAAGCTCAGTGAAAGCGACAGAAAAAAATGAGAAAACAATAATGAAATGAAACATTACAATCTCAAATGGCATCAAAAAGATTGCCAATAATGTACAAGTAAAAAAACCATTAAGAATAAGTTGCAAACGTATGCATGGAGGGAATTTCACACACTAAACCTTCAAAATGCATCTTACACCGGCCCACAAAATCCCTCTATACTTAACAAGCCACTCCGATGTCTTTTGTCATGGATCATCCATGTGTGATGGTCACAAACTACTCGTTACTGTACATGAGACAGATCCATCACAGTGTGAATTCATACTCCATTAACCAACCGTTTTACATCAACTAATCGCTTACACGAAATTAATAATCATTGTTACCGATCAAATTGTTGTCACATTTATTTTTTATATTTTCGTTTGGTTGTATTACATAAATTTTATCGGCTTTCGGAAATTCAACTATGTCTGTTCACGCTTAGCTCTGTCAATCTTGATCTCAGATTAGTGCTCACGAACAATGAGTGGTTCGGAAATTCCCGAAACTCGCACACAAATACGCAGTGCACACGCAATACCAACCTCAAACTATTCAATGGAAACCATCCACATGTTCTTGTTTTGTCTAATGTAATAATTGTCGTGTTTTCCTTGCTGGACAATTTTCACCATTTATCGACTTCACTACACAGTCACTGAGACATTATTATAGATATCGCAAATTTACTCATGAATACGTTTTCGGAATTGTTACGTTATCTGTGAGCATGATAATCAATCGAGATATTGCTAGTGTAACACGAACTACACATGAATCACTCATTAACACAACCTTCCTAAAATTACACCCATCGAGATAATTCACCGAGCTAATGATCCAAAACAACACTCGATAGAAATAAATCAAGCAATTCACAACCAAATCTACAAAACAAATATCATACCATAGCACTAATCCTCGCACATATCCGTTGAGGCATTTAACACAAAACAACGAAGTCACATGCGAACACAATCAATTCAACAAACTGTAAACAGTCAGATAACCGTAATTCATTGTTCAATCGGGTTGAACAATGAAGACACTGTGATAGACGAAATCGAGTTGATTAAATAATGTGAAGTGTGCCAACTGGCCACACAACACACGAGTTCAGATCAACTCAATTGAACAACCAAATATTAGGTGCGAACACGTGTGTGTACGTGGAATGACCGACGTCCATTATAAATACAACAATGCAATATATACAGTCAACAAACGAACAAGTCAACGAGCAATCGACACTCACTTCAACAGTGAACAACCACAATGCAATTCCTCACTGTATGTTACAATTCTGTTGTGTGATATTTTCTGTCTGATCGGCCTTCTCATTTCAGCTCATCATAGTTGTACTGGTCGTATCGTTTGAATGTCAGAATCCAGGTGAGTCTTATCCTAATTGATAGTGGTAAATTCCGCTCAATCATGAAATATAATTTGTAAATATATACTGCTAAACGTAAACGTTTCTCCTCTTTTCACTTGAAGTTTGACTGTTTTTATATCTATTTTCTGTTGTCGTTTCATTCGACACTTTGTTTTTTTGTTTATGCTCTAGATTCAGTTTTTATGCACTTTTGCGTTACTGATAATCATCATGTTTTTATTTTGGTTTATTCACTTTTCAGTTATTGCTGGCCCTTCCAATGACATTGATGATCTGGTTGCCAATGGCATCGATAATATAAAGAAAATCGTCTCACTAATACCGGGAATTGATTCGAGTGTTACAGAAGCAAACGCCAGTATCTCAACGACAGTTTGAAAGACGTCCGACCCAAACTTGTTCAAATCTGTAGACACTACCTAACGTGTGATTTACATTTTGTTCTTTATATACACTTGATTTGTTCCATAGCTAGCCTTTCTTTTTTTCGGTTGAAAATATCAGACGTCTATGCCAAGAACTATATATACGACCAAGCATGTGTTAACTCGTTTGAAGACGGATACAAAAAGTTAATTATTTAGAACTGCTGCATTTTTCATCTTAAATTCATTTGAACGTAGGTGAAAATACGTACATTTACCTTTCCTTCTACCCTGCAATTGGTTGTGCTTTTAAGGTTACATGTTAATTGGCAAATGCAAAGACTTTTGAGGAAAATGTAATTGATTGGACATTCGAAACTACATACACATATTAAACATTTATTCGTTTTCACATTAATATTTTTACTAATGAAACGGCGCAATAAAACAACATGTTTTCGGTAATGATCTACCTTATCTGAAACGTGATCCAAGATCATCTGAATAAACATAACGCCTTCAAACTTACTGACTGAAGTGTTTATCATATCTGGAATTGTAGCTGAAGTACAACTTAGACCAAATAAAAGATATTTGTCGTTAAAGAGTCAAATCGAAATGTTAATTGTCGTCAAAGCTGACGAAGACTAATTTCAAGGGATTTCAAGATGAATGTATTTTAAGTCAACTTTCGAGAACACTGTAGAACCATAAATTCGATTTAGAATATATCCAGCCTCTAACATCGTGCATGTTTGCTCCAACAGTTAGGAGTTCAGTGTTAATTAATAGTCACCACATATTCTAGAGGTCTTGCGATCCAACTTCAATGGCGAAACAATAGTAGCACTCCATGCTGAAGACTGTATCGGTTCAGTTGTATCTGTCGTTCAATGTCTTAAGTATTGTTTCTCGAAGTTATTACGGAATTATTCGTCTTTTGAGCAAGACTGGATCACCCTGTAGTTGACGGTTTATAGGCTGAATTTTCATACCTCCACTGCACATAGCACACGCAATGATTAAACCTTTGAGTAAAGCATCAGCATAAAGACAACTCTACATCAGGCCCATTCAAATGTTTTAAACTCAGTATTGACAATCCTAAATAAACGTTTAAAAAACATGTTTGGAGAACTATCCTCTCTTATTACCAATTCACAACACCCTCGTATGGACAGTGTATGTTCAGTAATCTCTAATATTGAGACTTCAGCGGATCGTACCACAACGTTACTATCTAAATATCTCCAGTTCTTCAATGAAACAATGGACTCCATACTGCCCGTGTTTACAATAAAGTCATAAAATGAACCAATGGATGTACATATTTGTTTTGGAATATAAACATTATCTTTCAAAGCGTGGACAAAAGTGAATGATTATAAGTAACACTCGGATTGATGGGATCTAGGTAACAAGGTTCAGTACTACTTGAAGCAGAATGAACAATAGTTTTCCGTAATGACTAAATTTGTGATATCTCACTACATTTAAAACATTCAGCATTATGAAAAACACATGGATAACGAGAATAAAATTCGCCACAAGATAAAAATTTACCAAACGTGCACTCACCTTTGTGGTTTGCTTTGCAATTCCTTGTTGAATCATCTTTCATACTTTTACGAGTAAACGAATCAGTATTAAAAGACCATGAGTTTGATCGACCGCAAGAGTGTATTTCATTATGACGACCAACAAAAGTTTTGGAAACTTTAACAGACTGCAAGTCAAGTTCATTCATTGCTTCAAAGGTGATTCAGTACAGGCTCAATCGCGACGCCATTGTAAGCATAAGAAGTGTTTAATTAATATATGAACCAGGAATTCCTGAAATAGTGCAATTCTCGGCAAAAAGAACTTGGTGAGCACAAATGAATGTGTTGGATTTAGAAGTCGAAATCCGGTAAATGTCAATTGCAACTGCATCATTTGTTCATACAAAAGCAACAGAAATTCTGTCTTAAAATGTTCACAGTGAAAAGAATTTTCAAGGATCACTGCAACTAATTCCAACTAATCTGATCTCGTTTCGCAGAGAAAATAAACTCCACATTATTTGTCGGAGTTTTTCAATGGAAAATTCAAGTTCAATTAGTAGAAGAGTATATTGTTGGCATCCAACGCCGACTAATTACTGAGATCTTTAGAAGCAAGAACAACAATTTCAACATCTCGTCCGATCAACATTCATAAGGGAGATTTCTAGAAAACCCACGAATCTTGGGCCAAACTCCGATTGTGCGATTACTGACTCGGTCACTTGATTTTTCATGTTCACCGAGGAAGCAAAGAGTTTAGCGGTCATCAGGAAGCCTAGTGTTAAGTCGGCTTACAGTAAACTCTATCATAGCCTCCAGAGAGGCTCATAAAGAGCCCAACCAATCAGCGATTAGTTAGAAGCTATGCTACTAAAATAACGAGGTCCTGATTGGTTGTTTAACATACTGCTACTATGGAAACTCAAGGTCTTTTAATTACTATAAAACCCGTTTTTCTGTACATAAACGAAAATTGTAGTAAAGTGCTTCTCTGATACTCGTGTCTTCTCTCTGGTCTTCAAGTTGCTGTATAGTTCTAGCTCGGGGATCCGAAACTAGCTTAGGGAAGCAAACATAACGTTCACAACCGGCCAGACGTAACAGTGGCGATGAGGATTTTGGTACGCAAAAGAAATAAGTATACAGTTGTCGTCGGGGATTCTGGTAAAAAAGAAATACAGCAATCGAGACGTGATTTTGCAATTAAACAAGCTGTAATAATTGCCGGTGAATTTTTAAAGTTATTATTATTATCAGTAGAAAAAATGACGATTTCTCTAGAACAGGCGCTGATAATATTGGAGCACCGGCAACAGCAGATGCTAGCCTTCCAGCAGCAACTATTTGAAACACTTTTGGACAAATGTTTCACTAAACAAAATGTTTCAGGAAATATAGAAATTATTCGTAATGCAGATAATGGTGTAAATATGGCCGTCCCAGAAGAACGCCCAGTTGAGGGTTCATTTCCCTTCACATCTGATGGAAAAGGCAAAATGGGTAAGTTGGCCGGTTCAGAGCAAGACAATATCTTGCTAAATGCACATGAAACTGTGACAGTGTCAGATATCAAAGAAAAACAAGGTTCCGTAGACAAAGCCCTGAGCCCAGAGTCAAATGAAGCACCACTCAATCCGCCGATTTCTGAAGACAAACTTCAGTCACAATTAAACTACGGTTTACATGATATCAACCAAGAAAGCTGGAATGGTGCACATAACTTTGATGAAAATTCCTATGAAGATGAGGAAACTAAGTCGGTTGAATCAAATGATGATCAAAAACCTAAGGCAATTTCATTAGATGATGATTCCCCCAGCTATCAAACATCCTCCAGTGAAAATCATAATGAATTTGATGGATATGTTCCAGAAAAGCCAAATTCCGATGACCTAAAATCAAATATCGTTCAGCATCGTCTATTCGTTTCTAGTGGATTATGCATTCAATACGAGAAATGTGTTCTAAATAAAGTCATATTAATTGTAAATTGGAGATATGAAGATCCAACATTATTTCGTGGGGGAGGAAAATGTTGGAGAATTTTCAAATTACAGATTATTAAAAAAATCAGAATCTAATCTTCGTATATTCAAAGAAGGGGAGGTGTTAAGTCAGCTCACAGTAAACTCTATCAGAGCCTCCAGAGAGGCTCATAAAGAGCCCAACCAATCAGCGATTAGTTAGAAGCTATGCTACTAAAATAACGAGGTCCTGATTGGTTGTTTAACATACTGCTACTATGGAAACTCAAGGTCTTTTAATTACTATAAAACCCGTTTTTCTGTACATAAACGAAAATTGTAGTAAAGTGCTTCTCTGATACTCGTGTCTTCTCTCTGGTCTTCAAGTTGCTGTATAGTTCTAGCTCGGGGATCCGAAACTAGCTTAGGGAAGCAAACATAACGTTCACAACCGGCCAGACGTAAAACCTAGAAACAAGCTTTTTTTCTGTAAATAAAAAACATTGCAATAAACTTTTCATTTACATGATGCGCCATTAATCTCATGTTACAGTTCAATTGTAGAAGTCATCTGTGTTTATGATAAGGGGCTTGAAGGTCGGTAACAAGCGCTTTAACAGAGAACGTTTTCAAATGCAATTGACAGAGAAAGAGTGCTTCAGAAATTTGAGTAGCATCATGTCCGCTAACGAAAGTGTTGTCAGTAAAGTAACTAAGTGTTTGGTATGGATTGGGTCATTTGTTACATGATATTACAAAAGACATTCATGAACTACGCTTTGTAATAAATGAAGACAATTTTTCAGAAATAGTTTATGTGAAGGAGCAGCTTCCTGCCGAATGTTTGCGTTAAATGTCAGTGAACAGCGCACGACACAAGGAGACCACAAAACCTCGAAATAAGTAGCGCTCTGAAGTCAATGATAGGAGAATAATCAGAATCTATTATTGGCATTCCAAATTCACTGTCAGTTGACGTGCACTGCCTCTCATTAATCACGAATGCTTAATCTTTGAGTTAAATTCGGCCTGAATTCATGTTTTCAGCTCTGTAACAAATGATGCTTCATGGTGAAGTTTACAACAGCTCCCACAAACTCATACGCCTTTTAATTTTGTAGAAATATCACTTCATTATCTCATAAATCAACTTTTTGAAAGTTAAATAATCTATGAAGTTTTGTTCAATTCACACTGATCAACTAGTTTGGCTATACAGAATCTGCCTGATTCAACCTGGTAAACCAAAAATATTCTCGATCGATGCACACATGTACCGTTTTAATTCGTAGTACACGTTGTGATTCGGCTTGCATACACCCGTATTGAAGGATACAGTTTGTCCTTAACTTTGGTTTCAATCACACAATTGATTTCTGGATACCTCACTGTTTGGTATTCGCAAGTTCATAGTTTTTATGTTGTTGCCCACTATGTTACCGTATTTTGAAAGAAATTGTGTCTTTAGTTTCGAGATATTACACTAATCTTGGCACGTTTCGCGA